TCCCGGGGCGAGAGAGATCCCTTCTGAGATGATAAGAAAGCAGAGCCGCTGCTTAAGAAGAAGAGAGAAAGGTACTGAAGATGAGGCAAACAGCAAGCAGACTTGAGCCTCAAGTCTGAGCAAAAAGTTAGGGCTAAAATAACAAAAGTGATCACAACCACCACAATGTCTATGGCACTCAACCAAATAAGGGTCCCTTTAATCCCTACAGCAACCCCTCGAGCTGGGTATATTTACCATGCCCCATAATAGATCTCAAACAACACAGATTCCTCTGGTATCTTTGACCATCAGCTCCCCACTTTCTCTGAGGCCTCCGTAACCACTGTTCTGCTCTCTGCTTCTATGAGTTCAATTGTTTCAGAGTCTACATATAAGTGGTAGCATGCGGTACTTGTCTTCCTGTGCCTGGTTTATTTCACTTAGCATTATGTTCTCCAGTTCTATCCACGTCGTCATAAATGATGGGGTTTCCTTCTTTTAAAAAGCTGAATAGTATTCCATTGCACTTATGCACCATGTTTTCTTTACCCATCGCTGGGCATTTAGGGTGGTAGTATAACTTGACTATTATGAGTAGTATGTACTTAACTATCTTTTGGGGGAGGCAGTAGCCCTATTCTGTGTCATTATGACTTCCTGGGTGCCTAGATCAATGGTTTGTATATAATAATACTTAATACCATTCCACAATCACTCAGAGGTGGAAATAGGGACTGGCCTCTTGCAATGTACCTTTTTTGCTCTGTAGTGACAGTAACAGGGCAGTGTCTGAGGGACACATGGATGGCAAGAGAGAAAAAGTCAGGGAAGCATGTGTTGTAGCCATGGGTTTGCAAGGGAATAGATTTAATATAGAACACACAATTTATAGGATTATTTTATAATATTCATCCAAAAAGTCAAATGCAGAAGAGTGCAAGAGACCTGTCTATGCACTAGAGACCGAGAGAATCCTGGTCAGGGCCTGGATCTCATGGCAGTATCCTGTATGAGTCCAGCTGAAGACCTAGAGCCCAGGGCAATGTCCTCAACAAGTCCAAGGAGGCCTAGAGCCTATGACAATGTCTCGTGCAAGTCTGTATCAAAGACCTGCAGTAGGAATACCCAAAGGCCAGTGGTGGCAGCTAGCAAGTCTGTGCCAGCAGGCTGAGGATCTGCATTGGAGCCAGGAAGTGATGCTCAAGGTAAGAACCAGAGCTCCCCTGAAGAGAATCACAGCCATTCTCAATGGCAGTGAGGTCCTGAGCTCCTCTGACAATAGCAGCTGAGCGCATATCAGGAAAACCAGCATGACAAGCTTCTCCAGGAGAATCAGCAGCAAAACATCTTCCCCTCCAGTTCTCCTTTTCTGCTTCCAGCAGTAATCCTCAGGTGGGTCCTCCACACCCAGAACCATGCTGATTCAGTTCAGCTGGGTGTTAGAAGTTGGCTATTAGTTAATCCACCACACCGGGCTTGTTTAAACTTCATCTGCAAGCAACCCTTACGCTTGTCTCATAGGATTTTTATGTTAAGTGATACTTGGACTATTCTCTTTGGGTATATGTGAGAAGTTTCATATTTGTACAGAGACAAGTTTTTGTTTGTTTGTTCATTTATACATATAATGAATTAAAGGAAAAAAAAAACCTAGCAGCATGATTTAGCTGATAGGCCAGGCGTGGTGTCTGCTTACTTTTATATACCCTGGTATAGCATTATATTTTAGTAGTGGAAAAAACAAATGACTATTGGTGGCCCCTGGCATGCAGTCTTTAAGAGAGCTGTTAGTATTCCCATAGGCAAACAGAGACCCAGAAAGGCCAATTTTCTTAATGTTTCTTTGTAAGTGGAAAATTCAGGATTTTGTCACTCTAAGATGCTCATACTAGCTGGGCATGATGATGCACGCCTAACCCAAGGTCCTCTTGCTTTCCGCTCTACTACTACACAGGCACTTATGAAGGCAAGTCTCCCCAAACTGACTATACCAAAGTGTTTGAACTGGCAGATCTGTGTAGACCCTACCAGTGGCCACTTAGGCTTTTCATGGCCTTTTCTTAGGCTTTCCCTGGGCCCAGAAAGACAGGCCCTTACCCGATGACTGTGGGTGGTACCATGGAGAGAGCTTCACAAAACAGGGGTTCCTTTTCCTTTTTGTTTTCCTCATGTATTGGGGGCAGCATGAGAAAAGAGCAGGAAGGTGCTTCTTTTTCTCTCGACAGCTCTAGGACCAGCTAGACTCGAAGATGCAAAGGTGAGAAAGGACCATGACGATTACTCACTGCTGTGATGTGTGAGGAGCTTATCACCTGTCAGCAAGGCTTTGGTGACTTCTCCCATTGCCACAGATTTGTAGAATTCAGGGTCTCACATAAGGTCTTCACTGTTCAGTTCTCAAAGTCAAAAGTCTGATAGAAGCGGGGCATGGAGTAAGCCAGGTTAGCACCTAATCAGGTACAAGAGCTCAGCACTGACTCTCAAAGGGTATAATGCTTTACATCTGAAAATGCATATGTGGCGATGTGGTATGGAAGATAAATGCCAGCTAGAGTTTCAGGGCCCTGTCAGTGTGAATGCTGCTGTTTTTGACATCTTTAGTCCTTGGCTAAACTGTAGATTAATGGATATAGAAATTGTGTTGAAGAATAGTATAACTTCCGGCTTATAGACAGAACAGCACCTTGGAAGAAAGCTGATGTGTGATGAACGCTGCTAAGTCATGATAATTGCTCACAGAAAGCAAAGCATCAACAGAATAAAGTAAGGTTAATGGCAAGGGGTGAATGTGCTTTGATACCGAGGTAAAAAATTTACTTTGAAACTTTTTATTTTCATCTTTTTAAATGAGAGACAAAACATTGATTCTTTTTTTTAAAATGAACCTACCTATCCTCAAAGGTAAACTGTCCTATAGGCTTTTGAATGGTTGTCAGATAACTTTTGGGTAGTTTGTATATATTTCTAAAGAGGTTAGGTCAAACTAATGACCAACTAAATTCTAGGTGTAATGCACTTTCTAGTGAAATCACAAAAGAAACCACTGACATGCAGAAACTTCTAAAGTCTGGGATCTGGTCAACCTACTGAACACAATAGACCTTGCTATAACATTAGATACGCTTAATGACACAACCAGATAGACAGATTGACATAACTTATCCATGAGGTCCAGAAAACAGTTGGATTTTTCCTCTAAACTGCACTGTAATTAACCTATTCAACTACATTGACAGTAGCGGACAAATGTTTGTGATATGCTAACATCTCCCCACTGTCTTTAACATTTAAACTATGGTAGAACTAATTAATATTCCAACATGTACAAAATGGATACCTGTTGTGTCAACTTAACATCAACAAATGGTCTAACGTGAATAATTTAATTCTAAATGAATCCAAAAAGAAAAGTTTTTTTTTAAGGTGTCAGATTCCTTTGCCAGAAATATCTTGGGAATTTGAGATCTTATGCAGTTTCAAGTTGGGAATCTGAGATTTTATCTATGCAGTTTCAAGTACATAAAGAAAAGTAATATAAAGTTCCTTCTTTTTGGGTAGTAAAAGTAGTAGTAATTTAGTTTTTATAGCTCTATATAGTTTCAAATATTCTACAACCAACATATTACTTTTAATTGGACATAAGATAATTCTAGGTGGTTAAAAAAGGAACAGCTGTGGCTTGATGACCAGGAAAACATTCCCAGTATTTGAAACAATTTGGCAGGAGCTTGGACGCAAGAGATAGAAATCTGACTAAATTCACAGGGCTTGCCAGATGGCAACAAATTACTGCCAATGTTCGATTGTGCTATAATTATTATACACTATCTGTCACTTCTGCTGGTTATCTTTCTACAGGACAAGTGGTGACAGAATGTTGTATTAAGATGACCCATCATTTGTTGGGCTTATGTTGAAATGAAGAAATGGAATGGAAAATCTTTTAGCAATGCTTCTAGGGAACAGGGGATGGTGGGAAAGGTTCGATTATGAGTACAATTATGCAGATATTTTTGTTTATTGTGTTCTGGGAATGCATTATTTGGAATGATCTTACCTGGAAATTCAGAGAGGAGATTTGTTCTATTACCTTTAAAGACGGAATTTGCTCAGAGGAACACTGTTTCTGGGGTCATGGTTTAAAGAGCTTCACTGATCTGCTTTCATGTTCCGTTAAGCACTTAAAAGTCTCCATTTACCCCTAAATACCTGATTTGTTGAATACAAACTCATCTTAAAGTCTGATTTTAGCCAGTGGCTATATTTGAAAATTATATAATTTTATTTCTTTCAGATAGATCCTATGTACCTCCATTTGTTCTATAACTCACATTTTTACTAATTTTGACCAGTTCTCCTAACTCCAAATCTATCCAAATATTGAGTTTTTCTGCTCACATTTCCTACTGTTAGTTTACTGAGCGAGATATACAAACCATAGCTTCCTCAGCTGTTCTGGATGAAATTGTAGACGAATGTGTAAACGTGTAGCTTAGCTGGAAAGTTATGTGTAGCAGGTGACTGGGAGGATAGCTTTCACTGCTTGGACTGAAGTCCGTTTTGAAGGAGTGCCTATGGAATTCTGCAGCATGTGGGCGTGTGTTGTGGGTGCAAGGCAGAGAGCTAGCTCTTCCCATTTCAAATAGCTCAAGATCTGAGTGGTAAAATGAAGCATATTTTTGCACCTACATATTCTGAATAGGGACAGCAGCCAAGTGCAGCACTGACTTGCTAAAATTCATCTTGGTTTATGATGTTTTAAAGACACTTTGGAAGTAGTCATAAAGATAAAAGATAGATTTAAAATCCACATTGGTTGCAGTAAGAGTCAACTGGAAACATTGGGTTTTGAAGCCCTGTAGTGTTAACGAACTGGCAGCCAAAGGAACAGTATCTTAGTCAACATAATGCCGTGCACCCTGCACACAAATAGCCTTGAACCTTCGGTGGTTATTCTTTGAGATGTTTCATCAGTGACATCACAGTGATTGCCACGTCCCTAGGACTACTTTAGGCACTGCCCAGAGTCCAGGAGTGCAGACAGCCTAGGACAGCAGGAGTTGGAAGCTCAGTTGGAGAAAGCCAGGAGAAGCCTATTGCAACCAAGGTATTGCCCTTGACCTTCAGGTAACTCAGGCTTTTATGCTCAGGATAAAGTGTGTATGTGTGTGTCTCTGTCCATGTGGGAAATGAGAGAGGAATGCTCACATTACATGATAAAATAGATAATGATCGTTTCACAGGCTGCTGCATGAGATGTAAAGTGGATCTTAGTGATTCCCATTTCTCTTTGGTATGCATTTTCATTCTCCTTATTGTTACAATTTTTTCAGGTAATAGAAGAAAGACTAGTTCACATTTTCTTGAAGTTTCTAATGAAAGAAAGCCAACGGCAAACCTCTAGTACAATTGATTCACAGAATTTTGGCTTTCAGTTCATTCCTATGGCAATTTCTTTAGATCATATGGTGAGATCCCGACTCTAGGGAAGGTTTAAAATGCAGCCAAAGCTGAATAATGGAGCATTGCTGATCTGAATTTCTGTATAACTTTGGCTCATTTTTTATAAAGGGTATAAATGTGTGTGAAAGTAAAGTCCACACCTTACAGTTAGCATATATGCTGATTGAATTGAATTCACTGGAAATTCTTATCTTAATTCTTTATGCTTCAATCATTTAAAAATGCACAAAACAACAAATATTTAAGGTTCCCATGAAGTGCAAGAATTAGTAAGAAATGTGGTAGTAGGCTTGTTAATTCAAGATGATTGGAAAAATGTGAAAAGCGTACAAAACATATGTACTTAAGCAATCATTCTAAGATGACACGTGTATAACTATCACTCATCAAGACACAGGTCATCATTGCCACCCCAGAAGTCCATTCACCTCCCCATTCTGACTTCTGCCCCAAAAGGTTGGGATCATCTTGTCCTTGCTTTTCTTTAAAGGCTGCACTCCTAAGTAGTATGATTAAATTCCTTGCTTTTAACTTTCTAGAATTGGAGTTATATTGTGTTTCTTTTGTAAAGTCTTTTGTCCAACAATTGTATTTGTGAGGTCCACCCATTTGTTGTGTTACTGTAGTAGTTTCTCTATTTTCTTTGTTCTATAGCATTCAAATGTATACATACACCACCGTGTATATCTATTCTACTGTTTATAAACATTTAAGTTGTTTCCAGCTTGGGGTCCTTTTGGAAATGCTGCTGTGAACATCCTTGTATATGTATACTGGAGCATGTGTACTTGAACATCTAGAGTAGTACTGTATTGACATTTTTAGATATTAGGAAGAGCATTTTCCACCTTAATAAAAAATACAAATTGTTTTCCATAATAGTTGAAAATTCTAACTTTGTTCATCCAGGTCTGTTAATTGCTACAATAACTTATTCTTATAATACTCCTATGGAATATTCTAGCACCTGGTAATTAGTTCTAGTGTGCCATTTTTAGCTCTGTCTCTAACTTCCTACATGCTATTACACAAACGACCTCCTCTAAAAGTCAGTTTCTCAGCTGTAATTTTTGGAAAGGTAAAAACCGTAATACTTGCTTGAATTATGAAGGTAAAGTGAACAGAATGATGGGAACAGTCTCCTACAGCATTTTTTACTTTCCATGTATATTTCTATTGAATATATGTATATATATATACTCCATGATTCTCTTTGTGTAAGCAGATTTGACGGGATAGCTACTCTGCCTTCCTGAATTGGGCTGTTTTTATCATTATCGATAGGGATTTATAGTTTCTGCACATCTCTGCATTTCTTGAGAACTTAGCAGACAAGTGGCATCAAGGTTGAGCTCATTAATAAGCCCACAAGGCAGAGCCTGTTTCTGATGCTTGGTCCTATTCCTTTCTCCTCCAAGCAAATGTCTGTAAATATTTTCACTGGCCATTTATTATTTCCTTCACACTAAAGGCCAAAAGATAGGTAAGAATTAAAGGGGAAATGAAACAGAAATGAATAATTATTGGCTGTATTTTAAAGCCAGATTCAACAACCTACTGGTTGGCATCATCTGGTTTGAGCCTGTCTGTTACACCAACAATTACATAACATAAAAACCAATTATTTACCTGTCATTTGTGCGATTAATAATTCGGTCTATTGATGAGATGGTACATATAGTGATTATAGTTAATTTTAGATGGCAGAAAATATCATTCATGCCAAAAATTTGCTAACAAATATTTCTGCCTCTTGAATTTCCAACCTTAGAAACAAAATATTCTTTATATCTAATTTTTTTTTTTTTTCAGTACTGGGAATTGAATTCATGACCTTGCACTTGCCAGGCAGGCCCTGTGCTGCTGAGCTAAATCCCCAGCCCCCAATCCTTCATATCTAAACATTTTCATTTCATTGTGGAATTTTGTCTTAAATGTCTAAAATATAAATGTCTCCCTAAAATTTTATAAATTATAGAAGTTTAAAAATCCAGATTGCATAGCCAAAGTGTCAATTACACTATATCACTCAAAGTAATCATTTGATTGACTGCATTGCATATGTTCGCGAAGTATGATTTCCTGCATGTACAATCTGTACACACTCTGAAGATAGCATCCTTGCTCTTTGAAATGTTTATCATCTAGGCACATCCTGCACCTGACTAAAAATAGCTGGCACAGGCCTTTGTTGAGATAGAAATACCCATGAGGCTGACACTTGTCCTTTGGACTGAGTACCTGTAATGCGAGGGACTTTTGGTTGACCCCTGTAGGCTGTGTGCCCAGCGCAGTCTTGTAAGAAGCCATGCAGCTGTTGAACTATTCTGTGCAGGGTTAGACGAAGACCTACAGCAGCCTGAAGCCTGAGGGATTATGGTGCCCAACTTCTAAATGTAGTTCAAAGCAAGAATAATATTAAACTACATTTCTTTTTTATTTCATTTTGGTGGCCTTACTTGCCAATACTCTGTTAACAAAGTGAACACATGCACAGAAGCTGGAGAGAGAAAAATGCAGTGTTTCATATTTTATCAAAAACCTCAGTACAATCATTACAGAAAAAAATAGGAAAAAATGTTGATCTTTACGGCATCAGACAGAGAAGCCAGCCTCTGTGTTAATCAGAGCTCTTCAGGCAAACACCAGCGTGTGCATGTGTGTGTGTACATGTGTTTGTGTGTGTGATTTGAAAGAAATTGGCTCAAGTGGCAAGTCCAAAATCTTCAGGGTCCAAAGAGAGTCTGGAAGTGAACTGTTCAAGACCACGGTGTCAGAAGGCTTGGTTGGTGTCTTTAAGGGCTTTTTTCTTTCCTTGAGATGTCCATAATCTCCCTGTGCTTTTATGTTGTCACTCATGGCTGTGTCCTAATCATCTCTTCCTGTAAATACACCAGTCCCTTTAGATTAGGACCCACCTTAGGGACCTCAATTTTACTTAATTACTTCTTGAAAGACCCTATTTTAAAATACAGTAACATTTTTTTTAATTTTAAAGATAAAAGGGGGGAACATTAGCAGACATACAACATTTTACAACATATCACAAGCACAATACAGACAATACAGAGTTACAAACAAAGTGGTAGGGAATTAACAATGGTGGTTGTATTATATATTGATATCTTCAAAGTGGCTTCTCATGAAAACAGATATAGACATGCAATACTGGTCAACCAAAGACTCATTGACAGTTTCTTTCAGCATAGAAATAGAAGACAGAAGAACAACCATGTTAACTGTCATGTATATACATACATACAAAATTTCTCCTTCTTTCCCTTCTCTTTTCCCACATCCCAGTTGCCCTTTACTGTTCAGCGGTTTCCTATCATTTCACAGTGTCTATCATACCTCTGAGTTTGAATTAACGCTTTCAAGATTTACACTAGTGACACAATGTGGTGCTTGCACATGTATGTTTGTAAAATACAGTAACATTGCTAGGTACTGCGGGTTAGGACTTCCACATACAAATGGGGGCCTCACAGTTCAGCCCCGATCAATCTCCCTTTTCCATACACTTATATTTGTTGTGAGGAAAGAATGAGCATTGTCTCAGAAAAATGCTCATTAATCTCCCGTGGTTTTTTTACTACTTTCTATCAGGGGGAGAGGATAACCTGGAAGTGCGTGGTGTGCCCTCAGAAGTCTGCCTGAAGTTCTCACCCAGCCGCCGCGATGGTGGAGCGATCTACCCGGGAGCTGTTTCTCAACTTCACTGTTGTCCTGATTACGGTTCTCCTAATCTGGCTCCTCGTGAGGTCCTATCAGTACTAGAGGCCATGCCGCACTCCTGGGATTGACTGAGATGCTCCGGAGCTGTCTGCTGCGTGCCCTGAGATCTCTCTCGTGCCACGTCATGGGGTGCCGTTCTTGGCACGCCCAGGCACCTCTGACCTGCACCCACAATGCCTGATGAGCCCCAGCGCTAGGATCGAATGTGTGTTCTCCAAAGATGCTGCTCTCACTGGCTGCCAAGTGCTTGCCAGTGGGCGTTAGATTTATTCCCCAGCTCTTACTGCACATGTGTTAGACCAGCCACAAGGTTAAAATTACACTGGAGTCACGGTGATGGAGAATCGTAACCAGCCCCCGATTCGTCTCACCACACATCCCTCTGGCCCACGCTGTCTGTAACCAAACCCTAATCCAACCGCCAGAAGCAATGTTAGAGGAAGCCTTTGTCAGACACTGTAGCTCTCACGTGAATAAAACTAAGTCAACCATAAAAACCGCGTTTAGAATTTATTGTAGCTTTCATGTGTGATGCAGCATTTGACCCTTGGCTGGGACCGAAGTGACAAATGCTGCGGTATTTCTAGCATTTGAGATAAGCCAAGTTGCCCCAACTGGTGAGGATTTGAAACCAAGTGAAGTCAAAGGGTCACATTTCAATTAATCCCATTGGTTCATTGCTCCTCATACTTTTCCCTTAACTGGTCCCAAGGGTAGAGGGACAAGAAATTCATTCACGAGACACTTTGGGCCAGAGCCTAAAGTGCCCACTAAAGGCTTGAGATTCTAAGAGCATTGGATTTTGAGAGGTTCCCAGTAGGAGCTGGGAAACAGCGGTCTACAGTCCTTAGTGTCCTGTCCCTGATTTCGGAGTCACACCACACATGTGCGTGTGCAGTTGTTATGATTTAAGATACAGCACACCACTCAGAAGTATGTGGTTCTCGGGTGGTTGGTGAGTGGCTAGTAGACCTTCTTTGACTCGAAGAAGACCTTCGAGAATGTACTGACATTTGTGTGTAGGTTTGAGAAGGTTTGTGTGTGTTGATGTAGAAGGAAGGGGTGAAAGGAGTGACACAAGATTCTCTTCAGACACTGGACCAGCAGATCTTTCCCCGAAGGCTGAGGCCAGCGTCCACGCTTACGACAGGTACCACTTACTGAGTCTACTGTTTGCGAGCTCTGTATGAGGCACTCTCCATATCTCATGCTGTTTAGCAGAAATGGAAACTGAGGGTCAAAGACCTCCCTAACCAGGTATAAGCAGTGCAGCCAGGGTGACAGCAGTGTCATCCGAACCATTATTCAGGACCGTTTTATTACTGACTCAGGGAAACCATTTGATTATGTTTTAAGTTTTATCCTCATATTCATTAGCGTTATAACATATCGCCTAATTAGATAAGGGTAGTGACTGTAATTCTCTATGTAATTTTTCCTTGCTTTTTAAATCCTACCTCCTTTCCTTCCCGATCTCTGACTGGATCTATTGCTAGGACCCATTTTAGGCCACATGATGGGCCATCTGGTAGGGCCAGTGCATTCATTAACAACTTCAATTGTGAGGCTGGAAATTATGTCTGATATCTTCCACAGCCAGGAGTCCCAGTCATTTTGGCTAAATCTCAGTCTGACACAGAAGTCTTCTTTTGTAGGTAAGCTCGCCTGAGACCTCTGGTCCTCTAAGCCATTGTGGTACTTTCACTGCTCTCAGTGTTGGCTGTCCTCACTCAGAAAGGGCTGGCTTACCAACTACCAAACGCTACTTCTTCTCTAGGACTAGGACCCTGAATCCTTGTGTTAGTGAGTTCCAGCCCAGAGGCTTGGGACTACCCTAGCTTTTTTTCTTTAGGTCATTCATTCATTCATTCATTCAACAAGTACTTATTGTGAAAATTTTATGTTCTAGGCATTGTATCAGACGCTATGGGTACAATGGCTAATGAGGCATAGTTGGAGCACAGGGTGCTTCTCCACCCACTGGCAGTTATGTCACATAGCAGCAGATCTCAAGATTCTGACTTCATCTCTCTGACCTTCAGATTGGGTCGCCTCTAGGATGCCGTGCCAGCATGCCCCACTACCTAGAAGGAACTTCTTGACACCAACAGTTGTTTGAACCTTATCTGTGTTTACACAGAGCTTTGACACTGGATCTTGCACCACCTGGCCATCTTTATCAATAGTAGCCAGACCAGTTCTTCTTTCTGACCATCTTACCTATTGAATAGGTCTCTGTGGGGTGATATCTTTATTATTCTTTTTTCCACTTTTGTGCTGAGCTGTTCACAAGGGTTAGATTTCCTTTGGCTGGGATAAACTACCTGACACTGCAACTTAAAGGAGGAGTGATTTATTATTGGCTCACAGTTTCAGAGGCCTCAGTCCATGGTCAGCTGGCCCCAGTGCAGAAATTTCATGGCAGAACGATGTGGTAGAGCAAAGCTGCTCACTCCATGGCAACCTGGAATCAGTTTACGGGGGAAGAATGCCAGTGATTTTTTTTTTTTTTTTGGTACTGGGAGTCAGACTCAGGACCTTGCACTTGCTAGGTAGACACTTGTGCCGCTGAGCTACATCCCCAGCCCAGAAGAGTGCCAGTGAGAGACACACCCTCCAAAAGCACAGGCTCAGTGTCCTACCTCCAACTGGGCCCCACCTCCTAACAGCATATTGAGCTATGAACATCAGTGGATTAGTTCACTGGTGAGTAAAGCACCCTCAAGATGCAGTCATCTCTCCTGGAGTGTCTTAATCCAGTCAAAGTGACAGTTAAGTTTAACTGCCACATATTATGATGCAAACCAACCATTTGAATTTTTTTAAAAAGGTATTGTGCTGGCTTAAGCTTTCCTTTCAGTACTCTCTAAAACTCATAATAAATTGGACAACCTCTAGAACACCCACTTTTTCCAACTATTCTCTCACACTGAAATAATTACACAGCAGACATGGTGGTGCACACCTGTTATCTCAGCACTTGGGAGGGAGAGGCAGGAGGATCGCTGTGAGTCTGTGGCGGCCTGGGCTATATAGTGAATTCAAACCAGCCTGAACTGCATAGCAAGAGCCTGTTTCAAAAAAAATTACACAGGCTTTTTATTCAATTCTGTGAACGCCAACACTACATCTGGCCCCCAGCTCCTATCCCTGGAGCTATAATATAGTTGTCTCCAAAGAGCACAAAAATGATTCAGATAATTCATGTCCCCATCCATGACTCTAAGAAAAGAGGTCTAAAGTACTTCAGCACAATCAGCTTCTAAAATTGTATTTCCATCTTTGCTCCATTGGCCCCCACAAGGGTGTGTGAAATGGTCACAAAAATGGTAGTGTTTCCATTGTTCTCTAATCTAATTTGGGGCTGAATCTAGAAGGCCTCTCAAGGTGACAGCCACTTATTTTTCTTTATTTTTATTAGTACGTTTGCAATACATTAGGATTGCAATCATTGTGGGGAGAGGGTGCCTGTGCATGATGCATCTTCATTCTTTTTATTTCATCCCCTACCCTCCTACCCTCCCCTGTCCTTTCCAACTCTTGATCCCCTTCCTGTTTGCAAAAGCTCTGCTTTTTATCATTTCTTCTTCAATTTTTTAATTCCCTTTCTCTCCCCTCCCATTCTTTCCCTCCCTCTTTCTCTTATTCTCCCATCTATCTGAAGATCTCTTCCTACTTCCTAATTATTTATCTCCTATTTTGTTCAAGTTTCTTACATAAGAGAAACCATGTGGCATGTCAGCTTGTGTGTCTGACTTATTTCACTTGATTTTATGGTCTCATGTTGTATCCACTTACCTACAAATGCCTCATGTTTATCTTTCTTTCGGGCTTGGTGGTCCTCTATTGTGCATAAATACATTTTCTTTCTCCATTCATCTGTTGATGGGCATATAGACCTTTCCCAAAATTTAGCCGTTTTAAATTATGCTGCTGAAACATGGGTGTGCACACATTCATGCAACATGATGACTTTAACTCTTCATCTAGAAGAGGAAGCGCTGAGTGAAAGTGGAATTTCTACTTTTAGTTTTTTTCTTTTCCATGTTTAAGACTTTTAAACATCTTATTAGTACAGGTTTGCAGTGCATGCAGTTTAGTATCACCTTGAAGAGTGGTTACACGTTCATAGCACAGCTTGTGTCTTTTCTTTTTAATCCCTTTTCCCTTCCCTCCTCCTCCCCCCTCTCCTCCAATTCCCCTATCCCATTTCCACTTTTTGTGATGTTATTAGTCTTAGCTCATACTACAGCATATAGTGTTTACACAGTAGCGGTGATTAAGCTCCTGTTCATGGCATACCTTTATTATACTTATCTCCCCTCCTCCTTCTCCTTCTCCTCACCTTTGCACTTTTCCCCTTGGACTTTTTCCCTACTGCAAGAGATTTATCTCCTTGTCCCCTTCTACCTATCCTTATTATTCTCTTTGTGTGTCTGTTCCAAGCACCCACCTCTACTCTTGTTTCTAAGTATTCTTACTGTTGGTAGATCTCAAGTGCGACCTTTTTTCTTCTGTGGTGACCTTGCACATCTATCCTTTTCCTGGAATGTCCACCTTTCTTTTTCTGGTTAACTTCTGCTCATTTGTTAAGATTTGAATTGTCCCCGGATAATTCCCTTCTCGGAGCCTCGTGCCTAAGTGCTTATAGCACGCATTACACTGTGTCTGTCACCTACATTGTCTATAGGTACTTTCTTCAATGCAGTTCTCTTTGTCTAGCATCATCCCTGGGTGTCTGTTTAAATACATCATTGACTTCTTGACCAGATGTAAAAGCCTTTGGGATAGACAGATACCATTTCTATAACTAGGTGCGTGATCTGTACTCAACACAATTCAATTTCAAATGAAGCATGAAAAGAAGTTCTAGTTCAAAAGTTCTACTACATTAATAAGCAAACTAAACTTTTTTAAAAAACACTTTAGGCAACTGAAACAGCTTTTTCAAAGGCAGTTAGCTTCTTCATGAGATATTCAAGATACTTGCTTCTTTTGATCCACCTCTATCACTCCCCTGAACAATCTGACATTGTTTATGAATTACTCATCAAAGCACAGTGCATTGAGCATGTCTTCTCCTTCATCTACCAACAAGGTGATACTGGAGAAATTTATACTTTTCAAGTTGTATAAATTAGGGTCAAACTCGATGTATATTATTGTATGACTTCTCTGTTAGGAAGTCCCACATGTCTATTTAATTTTTAATTCTTGTTTATCATATGAAGCACTTACTTACTTATTTGTTTATTTATTTAGAGATGGGAGTCTTGGTATATTTCCCAGGCTGATCTTGAACTCCTGAGCTGAAGAGATCTTCTTGTCTCAGCCTCTGGAATAGCTGGGATTACAGGTGGGTGCCACTGCACCCAGAGTTAATCAATCATGATTCTTTCTTCACATTTTAAAAGCCAGAGGACAGAGGTTCAGAAAGGAGAAACGATCAGCCCTAAAACAGAGATTAGAGGCAAATCTGGTTTTCTCCTACTCTCTG